CAGGTCTAAACCAGAACTAAACCAGAACTAAACCTAGGTCGCCGTCAGTTTGTGAAAATATTGTCCCAAAAAGAGAAAAATAGTTGGACAGAAAATCGTGGCGTCTGTGGAGTAGAAAATGTTGGGCACCAAAGCTCCAAACACAATGAAAACATTTCATAGTTAAAAGTGACACTGGGCACAGCCGTCTTGGATTCTCTAAATCTTTGCTCGGTCTCCTGCGAGCTCTCAGTCAGGATTGATTAGTTTGATTTGTCTGCCTAAATCATCCCACACAGTTACGATGTCCGAATCCCAAATCTAAAATATGTCAATATCAGAACCAGAAACAAAAGTGATATGGTTGAAAAGACTTGAAAAGATCGACTTTGTCAACAGACACGTCCCACTGGGAAAACAAACATGGAGGTTTGATGATCAGTTTTTCAGAAAATCCTTCCCTGTATTTAATTGCGCAATGACCGGAAGTCTGAGATTCTTGATGCGTTTATTGGCTGCACTGAACATGAGCAAAGGATCATGGTCTCTGTAGTTCCCTCTGATTTTTGTGTCTGTCGTGTTATTCCTGATTTCTCCAGTGGACGAGGTGCGCTTGTTTTGCGTCTCTTGATAACTGTCTCTTTGTCTCTTTGCCTCTTTGTCTCTTTTCCAGCGGACGAGGTGCACCTGCGTCCGTTGCTGAACTCGTCGCGGGTCACAGAGTTCAGTCGGGAGCTGCTCTTGACTCAGGGCGAGTGGGAGTTTGTCAGTTTGTCTGTGGACAACTACAACTTCAGTTTCTCCGGGCTCATGTGGGAGACGCTGGTTTATACGGTGAGACACGAGAACGTCATCTGTTCCATCAGATCCTGAATTTTAAAGACTTTTTTTTTTATTTTAAACTCTGAAAAAAGATGTTTTGAATTATTTTTATTCTGAATTTTAGTTGCTGAAATTTGTATTGTTCTTTTTATATGTTTTAAAATATTCAGCACAAATATTTTAAAATTCAACTTAGTGTAAAATTTTCACAGTAAAGATCCGAGATGCCAAGGCAGAAGCAATCGAGCCTGAGTGAGGAGGACAGAGGCTGTTTCCTGTAGGTTCTCATTTGTGGGCGGGGCTTGAGGTTTTGATGAGGCAAATTCTGACCAATCAGATCGCTTCACTGCACCATTTCTTGCTGTTACTAAGTGAGATTAGCTCATGGAATCTGGTGATTTTTTTTTTTTTTAGCTCACTGGGACTGAGAGAAAAGAGGTTGGTTTTTGTTTGTCCTTTTTGAATGATTTTCTGCTGTTTCCCTCCCTCCCTCCCTCCCTCTCTCTCTCTCTGCCCTTCTCCCTCTCTCCTCATCCCCTCCCTCCCTCTCTCTCTCTCTCTCTCTTCCCCCTCTCTGTCCTCTCCCCTTCTCATACATCCCTTCTATGTCTTCCTCTCTCTGTCCTTTTCTCTCGTCCTCCCCCTCTTTCTCTCTCTCCCTCTCCTTCACTCTCCATCTCTCTCTTCCCTCCTGCTCTCTCTCCTCCATCTCCCCCTCCCTCCTCCTCTCTCCCCTCCTTCTCTCTCTTCCCTCTCTACCTCCCTCCCTCCCTCCTCCCCCTTTTTTCCTCTCTCCCTTCTCTCCTTCCTTTCCCTCTCTCTCTCCTTACTCTCCCCCTCTCTCTCGCCCTCTCTCTTTCTTCTCTCTCTCCTCTTCCTCTCTCCCTCCTCCCCTCCCTCCCCCTTTCTCTCTCTCTCTCTCCCTCCTCCTCTCTCTCTCCTCCCTCTTTCTCCTCCCTCTCTCTCTTTCTCTCTCCTCCCCCCTCTCCCTCCCTGTTTCTCTCTCTCCCTCCCTCTCTCTCTCCACTCCCTCTCTACCTCCTTCCCCCTTTCCCCTCTCTCTCCTCCCCCTCTCTCCCTCCCTCTTTCTCTCTCTACTCCTCTCTCTCTCCCTCTCTCTCCCTCTCTCTCTCTCCCTCCCTCTCACTCTACTCCGCTCCTCCCCCCTCTCTCCCTCCCTCTTTCTCTCTCTCTCCTCCTCTCTCTCTCTCTCTCTCTCCTCCTCTCTCCTCTCCTCCCCCCTCTCTCCACTCCCTCTTTCTCTCTCTCCCTCCCTCTCTCTCTACTCTCTCTCTCTCTCCCTCCCTCTCTCTCTACTCCCTCTCTCCCTCCCTCTCTCTCTCTCTCCCCTCCCTCCCTCTCTCTCTCCCTCCCTCTCTCTCTACTCTCTCTCTCTCTCTCTCCCTCCCTCTCTCTCTACTCCCTCTCTCTCTCCCTCCCTCTCTCTCCCTCCCTCTCTCCCTCCCTCTCTCTCTCTCCCTCCCTCCTCTCTCTCTCTCTCCCTCTCTCTCTACTCTCTCTCTCTCTCCCTCCCTCTCCCTCCCTCTCTCTCTCTCTCCCTCCCTCTCTCCTCCCTCCTCCTCCCTCCTCTCTCTCCTCTCTCTCTCTCTCCCTCCCTCCTCCCCCTCTCTCTCCTCTCTCTCTACTCCCTCTCTCTCTCCCTCCCTCTCTCTCCCTCCCTCTCTCCTCCTCTCTCTCT